CCTAAGTGTGTCTTCAGTTGCTAGGTTATTTTTAGTCAATGGGTGGTTACCAAGTCATCTATAATTGTGCTGTTAAATGTGTCAGAGCAGCTACTGCAAAGCTAGGTGCTCCTTCTAAAAGGTGAAGCATGTAAGGTAAAATGAAAGAGTACAAAAGCGAAATTTCAGAATTGAGCTGTTTAAAGATTTGTATTCTATCAGGGGAGATTGCTTGATGAGCAGGTATGAAGAAGACGATCCGTGAGTACAACATGGATGGAGAAGCACGATAACATAGTTCCACTGTGCTACCCATAGTACCTGTGACTGGCATATTGTGTCATTTGAGATTTGTGTTTGGGGGGAATTTACCAATGATCTGGCAAATCTACCAGAGATCTGAGTGATCTCACAGAAAATTCAACTTCTTAGGCAGCTTCTATACAACCTCTGTCGGTAGTAGCCAAAAGCTATTATTAAGTGGTGACTGGTATGCTGGAGAAAGTGCAAGGAGTTCCTGGTGGACATCTATCCACATGACACGAACTGGTGGCACAGTTCTTTCTCTATAAATAAAAAAGAGGAAGAATATTTAATCTGAATAGAAAATAGGTAAGTTGGTAGGAAGGAGACAAGAAAGAACAAAGTAATGCAACTGAAAAGCAAAAGAAAAGAAAATTACTTAAAAAAAAACAACCAACAAACCAAACATCAAACCAAACATCAAAGCATAAAAAGTTCTAAGTAGACATGATGCAGTGTAGCAAGGAAATTACACATTAGTTATTCTTAATTGTCTAGGTTGCACTACCCCTTTTATGAATTAGCCATTAGGAGAAATAACAGAAAGCAGGGTTTAGTATGTCAAAAATTATTAAAATCATATGAACATATCACCTAATGAGGTAAGTGAAGGAAAAGCAAATGAAAATTGTACGTGTTTAGTGGAGGGAGATGATCAAATGGTAAGTTTGAAGACTACTGTAGTCACAACTAGCCCAGTATCAAACAAAAAGTGAACCAGCCACTGGCATGCAGAGAATGCAGAGAACAGAGCAGGGAAAAACATACTTGCAGGCTGCAAAAACTAATTGATGGAAATATATCCATCTGTATTCATTACTATATATCCACTGTATCATCTATTTTGGTTAGATTCAAACTGGAAAAAGATTTATAATGCCACTTCAGGAATATGTGAAGGATGAACTGGGTGAATTTCAACAAAATAAAATGTTAAACTTGGCATCAGAAGAAACATTCCATCTGAGAGAACCACTGGGCTGGAATAATCACCTGAAGTGACAGACTATTGCCTGAGTAACTCAAAAGTAACAAAAATGAAATCCAGTGGGCATTGGCAAAGGTTTGGTCTAGATAACCTAATAATAGATATTGTCTGCTCTATTTTTTGTGATTCAAAGCCAGTAGTAGTTTCCAAATTCATTAGTGAAAATGTGCTAACGTCATCTCTTGTGCTCCTGCATTTAGATCTGCATTGGCTGTGCATAATTTGGGTTTTTATTGCATGAACAGGAGTAAAATAATTACACAAAAGGTGTTCAACACAAATGCAAACACAAAGGGCTTAGTTATATAACTTAGTTCTAAGTGTCTGGAATACAATCTGAACATGATTGTTTTCCAGGAATTTTGTCATGGTTTTATTTATAAAATATCTTAGTAGTGAAGAACAAATCTTCTAAAGTTTCATAGAATCTTTTCACATAATTAAATGCAGAGTATAAGTAATATTTTTAAATCTCTAGAATTGAGCAAAAGCTGCTGCCTTTGCTGCATAGTTCCAGTTTTAGTAATTCTGTGGAGCTAGATTGAAGTTTTGGTAAAAAGAGCAAATGAGCTCTATTTCCAAAAGAGAACACGCATTTGGAAATTATGCACTTGATTTTGATTCTGCTTTCCCATAAAACTCAGAACATGTATCTCATACACACTTTCTCTTGCTCCTTGATCATAAGGAAAATATATTCCTCAGCTCCTCACTACTTTTCCCAGCTGCAACTGTCTTCTGTATTGGAAATGTCTTCCAACCCCACCACCACCCTTCATTAGCTTTCAGGTGCTGAGTATCTGTCCCTTAGCATTAAAACACAACTGGGAAAGTTCCTGTTAGTGGTTCCCTGGCGGAGCTACTGCTGGGACCACCTGCCACCTTTTGCCTCTGTTGCTGGGGATATGCAGGGTCAGAGCTCTGGCAGAAACCTGAAAATCCACAATGAGATAATTCTGTAGATCTCTCTTGGCCTAAGCAGCTTAGAAGTTGTTTGATGAGTGTTACTCCATTAGTTGGGGATGTAAATCTTCATAGCCTGAAAGATGAGGGGGAGATCTTATGGGTGGAATTTATTCAGAAAAGTCTTCCAGAGAAGTCTGCACTGGTAACTTGAGACATCTTTAATATTTTATAGCTCTTTATGCAGCTGACAGGTAAAGAAATTGAAAATGAATACTTTTGAATAGGATCCTATTTGAAAGGTCCAAAGCTATTTAGAAAATACAAAAAACACAGTGAACCATATTTAGTACAGCAAGCAGCGTTGCCAGGTACCACTGTCCCCTCAAATGGGAAGTCTTCTGGAATCCCTTGTTGCTATGAGACTAAATATCTCTGTACAGCGTGAGCGCTGAACCAGTTTTTGCTCCCACTTACACTGGTGCTCATGTAAAGTGACTCCCCCGTGGCTGGGAAACCCGGCGCTATGTTTTGATGTTCTGGCTTATGACAAGGTCTGATTCAAAGCCCACAGAAGCCCAGAAGTATTCGTCCAGTTCAGAAGCTCAAGTAAGTAAGACTAGTTTCAAATGTAAGAAGGGCTACTATCATCTTCCACCTCAAAAGGGGCAAAGAATTTGGGGACTTTGACCCATAAAAAGTGGGTCTTCTCATCCTTTTAGTCAAAAAGAAAAGTAATACTTTCATACAATTTCTCTCCAAACTTAGCATGTTCACACAGAAAGATATATATTGCTTATCCTGGACTGTGTAAACTCTTAAGTTTGAGACACTTCTAAAATCCACTTATCTGTGAACTTAAAAGCTGCTGTGTCAGGCTCTGTGCTTATTTGCTAAAGTATAAAATGTGTGAATTTCCTTTACCTAACCGACACTTTTTTCTTTCACCTAGAAGACAAACAAAACCCAACTTGAACTGTGCCCAAGCATGGCCAGTTTCTCACCAAAGTGTACATTGCAGCATGTACAGATTTACAGTGGAATATCTTTAGTGAGGAGATGACATTGCTTTAACATTGCACTGCTGTAATCTTCGAGTAAATGCAATAAATGGGCTTATAGGGATTTGTGTGAAATTTAAAATTCAAAACATAGTTGTTTTTAATGTTGCTCTGTGCTATCTGTGAAAAACCAGAAAGTGCAGGGATAAACTTAACACACATCATCAACAAGGGAGATGTTTGCCCAAAGAAAATATTGATCTTTTATTAATCTGTCCTTCCAAGCATCTGGAAACCCTCCCGTTTGTTTTTGTTTTTTTTTTTTTTTTTTTAATTAAGAAACTATTTAAATAGTAAGTATTAAAACCCCATCAAACATAAATGCAAACATGTAACCAAAGACTTATGAAAACAGAGCTCTTGGCGTGCAAACCCTGACTTGGATTACATCCACAAAACTGGGTGCGCTTCCACGTCTATCCCGGATGAACCAGGGTAATGCTCCAGACACCGAGGCGTTACTGTCATTGCCAGTGCAGTGCAGTACATGTGCCGCCGGCCTGAGCACCACTGCAACTTCCAGCTCACCGCAGAGCTGCCTTCCGAGGAAGACCCGCCGCCTTGTCGCTGTAGTGCCGTGCCGTCCGGCGCTCACCCGCGTTCTGCCCGCAGCCTCCCGCGGAGCTTCCCGCGGTGCCGGCTCCGTACCTGCCCCTGGCCTGCTCCTGCTCTGCTTTCCCCTCCTCTCCCGCGTTACTCGCAACCGCTCGCACCCCGCCGCGCCGCTCCACGTCCGCAGGGGCTCCCGGTTGGAGCACGGCCCGGGCAGCCGCCTCCGCCACCCCAGCACCGCGCTCCGCAGCGCTGCAGCTCACAGCTATTCCCTGCCCCGCACCGCCGCCTGCCGCTTCTGCGGGACGGAGCTCGGAGCCCAGCCTGGGGAGTCCCGTCCGTCGCCCCGCGGGCAGGGCTGCAGCGCGTCCCACAACGGCGGGGCCGAGCGCGGAGGGGCTCCGCATCGCAGCACCTCCCCGGCTTCCCTACTGGAGCCAGCTGGGCTGCTCAGTCCTTCCCCTGAGGTGGGAGGGCGACAGCGAAATCCCAGCCTTGGCCTTTAAATATATTTATTTCATTTATGGCATTCTTTCATTTGCGGGCTTGCTTTCCGCGGGGATGGCTGCAGCGGAGTCATTAACGTGTAGACTGAGCAAGCTCTGGCCGTAGCCCGGCGCAGCTGCTCGGAGGGCGCTGTGGGGAGCTGCCCGGACGGGGCAGACCTCACGGGCGGGTGAGGGAAGGAGCGGGGCCGGCGGCAGAGCCCGAGTCAGCACCAGGAGCCAGGCGGTGCGGTGCGAGCCCTAGGGGAAGCCAACGATCTGTGCAAGAGCCCCCCAGCGGCCCCGCGTTCTTCGGAAACGGCGGGATGAACTGACTCCCCACCTCCCCGCACCAGAGAGGATCTCCGAGCCGGGGGAGGAGGGAGGGGGGTGCAACAAATTGCCGCCAGCCGGGAGAAGTTGCAGTAAAGAGAAGTCCCTCCTCCCCGCTCCTTCCCCTCCCCACTCGCTCTCTCCTCCCCGAGCTGTGGCAGCGAGCGGCGGAGCGGCGGCCCGGCAGGCGAGGGAAGGAGCGAGCGGCGTCCGCAGCCCGGCGATGCTGCAGCGGCTCCCGCGGAGCCTCGGCGGGGAGGGCCCGGCCCCCGCGCGCCCCGCACCGCCCGGCGGCGGCGCGCCCTGAGCGGGCGGCCGCGGCCCCGCGGTGCAGCGGGCGCTGTTGCGCAGCGCTGCCCGGCGCCGCCGGCCTCCTGCCCCCGCCGCCGGCTCGGCTCGGCGCGGCTCCCGCGGAGACGGAGCGCTGATTCATGGGGCCCCGCGCCGGCTGCCTGGGCGAGGAGAGCGCGGCGCTGCCGCTGCCCCCGCGCGGGGTGTGAAGCCCCAGCCCCTCCTCCGCAGCCCCGGGCTCGCCCGCCCTGCTCTGGAGTGTGGTCCCTGCCGGGAGCCGCCGCGTCTGGCGCACGGAGGGAAGCGTTGATGCATCGCTGTGGAAATTTATTGTGTGACTTTCTGGGTATTTGCTGAGTTTCAGACCGAGATGCAGCTCTTGAAAGCTTTATGGGCACTAGCAGGAGCAGCGATCTGCTGTTTTCTTATATTTGTCATCCACTCACAGTTTCTTAAAGAAGGTAATTATATCTGCATGTCTACATACACTGTTCTTTAATACTGAGGTTTTTACGAGGTGCCTTAATTATTTTTACTGTTTCCAGTATGTTCTATTTACAGCAGTGCTTCCACGCTATTTTTCCTTTCCGCTAAAGCCTTCTCATTTCTCTTCCTTTAGATAATAGGTAGTGTTAGACTTACATTCTTGGTAAATGTGTTTATAGATCTATAAAATTGGTATGCTGTTTGCATTGAGTACTTTAGCCGACGTCTCATTTCTTTATGGGGCGTGTATAGTGTATAGAAAATATTTGTTGCTATCAGATGACCACAGAACAGTAGTCATCATGGGAGTATTAATAAACAAAAAACCCTTAACAAGTAAACGTCTTATTTTTATACCAAATCAATAGGCAGCCTTTTCCTCTTCCTTGTTCGGTTCGTTTTCAATAGATGGCACTAAAGTTCTATGGAAAGGGCAAGGCAGAGCAAATTCTGGGCATTCGGCATCCTCCTTCTCCTCCTGGCTGCCCCGAAACTGGAAGAGGCCTTTGCATGGTTTCAAGGCTCCCGGTTTTTTCCCCCTTGTGGTCAGAAAATTGTGATTACAATTTACTGGAGAAAATAGTTTGAATTGTGGGGCAGGCTTAATTTTTTCTTCCTATACGTGGGTTAAGTGGAAAACAAATATGTTTAAGTGGGTAGAAGAATTTTCTTGGGAAGTAACCCTCATATTGCTCTTCTTTTTTTTTTTTTTGTATTTTGATTGTTTTTTTCTTTCCTCAGGAACTTATTCCTTTTTATTTTTTTTCTTTTTTTTTTCCTTCCTCTGCTAAACAGTAATTCCATTGCTCATCTATAAAGCAAGCTGTAGTCTGAGATTCAAGTGTGAATCCTGAGAGGTGTATATATGTTTGGTGGTGTATGGGAAAGCCCACTGCTGTTCTTTAACAGTGTTACCAAACACAACAGTATGGGGGTTTTGGTGAACCCACTTATTCTTTTTTAGCACTGTAGTGCCATTGAGGTTTGAGCTGCCGGAGGAAGGAGCCCCGCTCAGCTTGGAGTGCTGGTTGTGCAGAGCCTGGCAAAAAACTTTTATGTGACTGGGACAAAGTTTCACTCAGGATTGGGTAAAGCGACTGCCTCACAACCACTGAGGGGCCACTACTGGGTTTAGCTTAGTGCCAGTCCAAAAAAAGCATGAGACTGTACATTTTCACAGATCTTTTCTGAAATGAATAAACACTGATTTGCCCCATTTGGGTAATAAAGAAACCTTCTCCAGATATCTCCAGTGCCAGAGATTTCTCCTTTAAGAAACTTGCCTATGCTTTACCAGGGTTGTGTGCATTGCCTCCCCCAGAGTCACTTATTTAACATTCTTTTAAAATGCTTGGATGAATGTATGTGTACATCTCTGTCTAATGAGATGGTCCGTTTTGAGGAGGTTTTGCAGAATGAAATATTGCCAGTCATTTCAGGCTATTTTTTTTGTCAGTATTTGCCATTATGCTGTGTGATTGTTTGTTAGTTTTGGTTGGGTTTTTTTGTTTGTTTTTTTTCTTCAGTCTTTCACTGTTTGCTTTTGAGACCGGTGTTACTGTAAATAATGCATAAAGGAAGAAGCATTTTGTTTCAGTTAGAATATTTGCTCTTGCACTGCAGGCGTAGAAAACTAGCAAATAAATATATAAAAACAGTAACCATGGCCATGCACCAAGGACTTTTAACACATTTCCATTGCTTGTCCTCCAGCAATCACAACCACTCAGTGTGGACTGCAGAGAGAAAACTGAAACTCTTGAGCTTGTCGGGTAACTTAATTGCAGCAGTTTGTTTATATTTGTGAGGAAATTATTTCTGCTTTCTTTAACACTGAGAACTATATACTTACTGTAAATACAGATTGCATGTGTTGAGCTGGTTGTCAGCCTTTTCTTAGCGGGTGCTAATCTTCACAATAGCAGTTTGACCCCTTTCGTATAATTACTTCAGCAGTGTATGTATTCCTCACTGTAGTTTCAATAATGACACTGAATATTTTAGTGGAATTGGTTGAAATCTGTGTGGTATAACTGAGTCTTTTCTTTATTAAGAACTTTAAAAACAGCCAGTAAAAATTACTGGTTTAAGCATAGTATATTCAGATGCAGGCATTTGAGATAAGGAAAAATAGGTAACAGTGGATTTAAGCTATATATTCTAAACAATTTGCAAAAGCAAGATTAACATTCCGTTTTCATTTTAAAACCTGCTTTTTTATTATTTGCAGTAAGAAAACAAGGGCAAGAAGTGTGAGGAAAGGACTAGCAAATCATTTAACCATATGCCTACCACATTAGTTGGTTAAGTAAATATGTATAAAGAAGAATACATCTGAGATGGCTGTTACCTTACTTTCATAAGCTTTGAAATTCTTTTCTGATATCAGAGTTCACCCTTCACACTAACACTTTATAAAAAGTCTCATTGCACATGATGTTGTTAGGCTGTTGATTTCCTGGCAAAAAAATTAATTTCTCATTGAAGCCTAATGAACTACATGGGCTCATTGTAACTCAGCAGTGTGGTTGAATTCTTAAGTTAAATGCCTGGATGTTTTCATTTGATTATTTATTGTGTGGAAGGATAATTTCCTGTAGTCCCAGAGAACAAACAAGTAAACCACCAGTTTGTCTGGCTTGATCAGATTAGCTGATAACATGATCTCCTGAGAGAATTTGACAGTAGAAGCTCATATACCGAGCATCTCTTTTGTATGCAAGACAATTGATTTAAGAAGAATGACATGTAAAATTAATTAAAGATCTGACTTAATTTATTAATGCATGCTCTTGCTATTTTTGCATGATTTGCAATATTTACTGCTTATTATTTTTCCAGAGGCTGGTCTTAATAGAAAACTGACATAATCTTCACTTCTTACAGCAAACCAAAATAATGTAATTGCCACATATCTTTTTCTGTATTCATTTTCCCTTCACTCCCTTAGTTATGTTAGCTGTTATGTTAAACTGTTACCACCTACCAACACAAGATAGTTTTGTAATTTCGTTGTATTGCATGTCTATAGTGTGTAGAACTTCCATTACAATTCAGCTGAAATTTACTTACTGGAACCAAATCCTCCTTCAGTCACATTCATAAATATGAGATTGTATGTTTCAACAGTCAACTGAGAGTTTTCACACTGTTAATTTTTAATTTTAGTTCCTTTGCTGAACTTAGATTCCTTAAGTAGTTATGTGTATTTATGTACATGTTTTTGAATCGGAGCAGTTCAGTGGTAGCATTGCATTACTGCCATTTAAATGGTGTTAGGAAACAATGACTGTTTGTTCTGAGATGAGTGGGAAAGAACTGTTTAAATGTCTATTTTCATGAATATGTTTTTTTTTCAGGAAGTGAAGAATGGGTGACACAGGGTGCCATTTTTCCACACTTCGTCGTTTGTTTGAAAATACAGGTCATCCTGTGGCTAATCCGTTCCCCTATGTCCAATCTGTTCTTCAGTGTTTCTAAAAGATGAATAGAGCTGTGAACCCAGAAAAGGGTATTGTGATATATAATTGCAGTTCCATGCCTGTCTGATCTTCCTGCAAAGCAGTTTAACATACTCTAGTCAGCTGCAGCCAGTATGAAGGGGCATTAAAAATCAAAATAGCTAAAACTTCTTGCATACACCGTTAAGAATTAAAAATAAGGATTTTTAAGTTCACTAGCCATGCCTGATTTTAAATGATTTATATATTGTTTAATGCATTTATTCAAAGAGAACTGAAAAACACAGAGTTGATACTGCACACGTTAATTGTGGGAACTCCTTTGCCCCCAGACAAGTACCCTTTTCACGTAATAGAACATTTTAACCATTCAGACACAGTAGGGAAAGGAAAACACAGTTTCTAAATGTCTCTTTGAATCCCACTGAAAGTAGTGCAGTCAGGGAATAACTTCAGAAAGGTGTGTGTATTGTAGCCAGGGTGTGTTACAACTCTAGATATACTTTAAAGCTTTGCCTATCCTGTGACAGCTCATTGGGAGACTGGAATGTCTTATTTGCCAAGGGCAGTTTAGTATTTTGAATGGTTTATGAGATTAGGGTGGTGTGAGCCTTGTATGGAGAGGGGCTACACAGAAACGTGTTCAGTCTCAGGAATCTTACTTGAAGTATAGAGGATTGACTATTCAGTTCTCAAAACCACATTCTTAACCTGTTGGGTAGATAGTAGTAAGCTGTGTAAAATAGGGTGATTTTCTGTTGATTTGCTGCTGCAGTTAAATGGAAGAAAGAGACTTCCAATACTTGTGTTATAACCAGGTGATTATGGCTATAAACCAGAATTTTAGTATCATTTGTGCAGGTTTAGTATATATTTACATACATGAATAAGGTGTCTTACACATAAGGTATCTTATGTGAAAAAAAAAACCAACCTTAAAAGGTTTAGCACATTTTTCATAATTAACACTTTTTTCGGCCTTAAGCAAAAGTAAGCAATTGTTGGTTACATAGTTATGGGTCCTTCTCTATCAAACGCATTCAGAGGAATTAATGTCACAATAGCAAAACATGCTGCAGCACTTTCTTTAAAATAACGCATTTATTACACATAATAACTTGGTTAAGTTTCATATCTTTATTCTGTCACTTTTTACGTATTGAAATATTTTAACCTGCTCTAAAAGTATGAAAAAAGCTTTATGTGTATTTTTGTGGTTTTAGGGTGTACATTTGGCACTAAAAATAATAAGGAATGTTATTCTGTTTAGCTGTGTAAGCCCAAACAACTCTACTACTCTTCTGCTAATGCTTGGAAATATCTCCTGACAGTATATCCAAGACTATTCTCTTATAACCTGATAGCTTTATAAAGTTGGTAAAACTCATGTTTATTGCTGTGCAAAGCATACTGAAGAAAGGAATTGTTATTTTCTAAAACTTTTGGAGAGTTTGGTCTCCAAATTTTCCTGGAAAGCATTTGAATATGACTTATTACAACAGATAATATTGCCA